TCCTCTAATCATTATGAAGCAATATGGTTATGTTATTATTACAATTACATAATACAATTATATATTGTATTATGAAATACAATGAAACAAGTTTTTGTACAGAGTATCGGTATCGGATCAGTATTGCCGATACCACCCTGAATTTTACTTGGTATCGGATCGGAAAGGAAATCAGTGGTATCGCACATCACTATTGAGCAGGAGTTTAAAGTCAGTGTAATCCATCATTACACTGACTTTTTACTTGTCAATTAAAAGGTCAGCACATTCTGAAGGAAAACTCCGCCATACTGTCTATTTTATTCTAAATTTGATCGTAATTTAGAAAATGAAAATAATGCTGCACTAAATTTGACTTAAAACTAACACCTGAGACCAAAAACTAATGAGGAAAACACTTACTAACTGAACAGATCAAAAAAGCAGCAGGTACATTTTCCCACTGAACTCAATGCAATTGGACTTAGTTTTACAACCAAGCGATGCCCTCTGATGCCCTCTCTAGCGAGAATGTCCATTTTTATGGTGAATATTTTCTATTTTCCATTCTATTATATTTCCATTTTCCAATTTTCACAAATTTCAACATCAGCAGAGTCTTTCTCCCTGTGGTTACGGAGCCACTCATTCCCTGCTGCCTTTTCTTCCTATGTCACTGCATGTCTCGTCTTACCTTTTTTAAATCTGCTAGTTTGCCTTCTGGATGTTTACGTTTTAGCACTCATTAATTGTGAGGTAATGGTAGAAAAATGGGGCTTTATATGGAGCTGGATAAAAAGCTCAACACAACAACCCAGGCAGAAAATCATTTCAGTTTTTATTACGTGACATTATTGTGCAGCTCCTGGCAAATTACAAGGTTACATTACCTTAGTTGTCGTTAAACTAAAGTATAAAATCATTTTATACTTTTACTGAGAACTTCTGGGAAAAACACGACCTAGACTACTTTTGTCCTTACAGTTGGTTTATTGTGTTACTACCACTGCAGTGTCATGCTGCTGTTTCTACAAATTAAGAAGTCTCTTAAAAATGACAGTAGCTCTTATAAATCCTGCTGTCTGGAAGCTGCAGGTATTAAGAAGATCTTACTCAGTATTTCTTCTATGTTGTCAGAAATATCATTATTGTAAATTTTCTTTGAATATAATGATATAATTGTGAGGCTGTATGACCCGCCACTAGTTTCATGGCTGTTAAGCTGGTGTCAGTGCAGTTATTGTTACCTGGTTGTTGTTGTCCAAGTGGAACTGGACCTGGTACTCAGTTCCAAGCAGAGTGCTTTTCAGTGTGCCATCAGGCAAGCGGTCAGGGAAGAGCAGCTCATTAAGAATCACATGGTACTTGAACACATCAGAGTCCTGGACAGATGGAAGACAGAGGATTTATTTATAGCCAAAGACAAGAGTTGCAGTGGATCATCTCACCAGCAGGAAGAGAAAATAGGAGTGGACATGATGGTCAACTACAAAAAAATTGTTAATGCAACAAACATTTCACTTTATACACAAATTAGAGTTTTGTTATAAACAGTATCTAAGTATCTAAGATAAGGTCTTAGTAGCCCATCTTTAAGATACTGTAGTTCAAACACAGCAGACCAACATAAAAACATCCTGTGCCAAATTAATACATAGCCTGGTTTATAGACATCAATTCTCTTTCAGATATTTCCTTCCTCTCCTGACAGGGAGATATCTGACACAAAAAGGTGATTCATTATTTTGGTTAGTACAAACAAACTACCTTAGTACCATTGTTTGCTGGGAATGCTCACTTCATTTTGCGTTATATGAAACAGCTCAATTATTATTTGATGTGGATGTTGTGATGCCAATAAATGTTTTCACATAGTTCACATACGTAAATAATATTAAAGGTACTTTTTGTAATTTCCCTCTGCAGATTTTGGGTTAATGTTCACCACCAGGAGGTGCTGTTTTACCAGTGGATGCATTGAAATATTTTTGCACGTATGCTGCCATTTAATTTGTAATATTTTTTTTTCGCCCTCCCTCAGTTTCTCAAGAAGGTTTGCCTTTTTTTGTAAATAAGAAATTAAATAATAGTTATACTGACCCGCTGTACCAGTTAATGGCTTTTGTGCAACTGGTGTTACACAAATATACAGCCCAGATGTTTTAAACTCAGCTGATATTCTAACACCTAATGATCGTTGCATAAATGTTTTTGGACATAAACTAAGAGTGGTTGCTCCTTCACATTTTGTTAATAGATTTAGCTCATTTCTGAATTATTTGAGTTATTTTAAAAAATGGGAAATGTATAAATACTTTAAAGGTTGTATAAAACAACCTTTAAAGTATCCATTTTCTTGACAAGTGTTTGGAGGTTTTGCAGAATAGCAGCTGTCCACTGAATTATATTATTGACCTACCAGGATGGAGGTGTTAGTCCTGCTAAGATGCTGCCTTATAGCCTCATCTGTTGGCAGCAGAAGTGTAAATGACTCAGTAAGATTTGAAGACAGGTTGTACATCTGAGAGAAAACACACAGGAAGTTAATTAAATGTAACAATAAGAAGAAGAAGAAGAATAAAAAAAAGATTAAAAATAAAAAAGGATTACATCTTATCACATGATGCTGAGATCAGACAGACTTACCAGAACATACTCTCTGAAAAGCGTGAAGTTGGAAGAGGAGTTTAGGAAAGCCATAAGTGTGGGAGGCTCAGGTGGGAGGTCTGAGAGAGGCGGAGCCAGAATCTGACAACAGACAGACAGAGAGAAAGGTACTCTGTATGTGTAGATGGAGAGAGATTAAACTAATATGCTAATAATGTTATTTATTCACATCATTATTTGCTCTGCATGAAAAAAATCTGTATTTATTTCTTTTCATTTCACTGTAAAGATTCACGTGTACCTTGTCTATGACGTGGAGATAGCCATTGATCGCAGGTAGGTTGGGGGTGAGGATGGATGCTTTTCCAATTTGGATGACCTGAAACAC